TAACGTGTAATCATGAGGTGCTAGTTCAAATTTAAAAAATGCTTCTACAAAAAATGTTTCATCTGCAGATATGGTCTTGTTTAGGGATCTGTGCCTTTGTGCATACGGACATCTGACTGCTAAGTAGTGATTGTGGTTTTCAGCAATAGTGTGCACCCTTAATTTACAGAGAAAAGAAGGTCAGGGAAAAAAAAAAAGTTCTTTGTGCATTTTTCTTTTTTTCTACTTTGCACTTTTTGTTAGAAAATGTTTATTTACTATTTATTCTGGTTTTTTAAGGTATCTAATATTTTGATACTTAATTTCCATGATGTAAATATTCTTAAAAAATAAAAGTTTGTTGTAATTTGGAAGTGTGAAGGCCTTCTTGCATTATTATGCTGTTACATTATGATTATATTTTCAGTGGCATAAAATGGTCTTTAAAATGACAATAATATCGCTTATCGCAATTATTTCTGGGGCAATATATCGCACAACAAAACGTTGTTATCGTGACAGGCCTAATTGTTGATATGCAAATGTTTTATGTTCATGGCTGATGGTGATGGTATAACCATTCTAATTTCCGAAGAAATGTTTCCGCAGTTTAGTTTCAATTAAGATTCAGGCTGGACTAACGAGGAAGCTTGGAGTTGTGAATGTTACAGTATTTCTACATTGTAAAATAAGCTTAATTTAAAAAAGTTCCACTTAAACATCTAATTTCAATAAGAAATGCATCAACACAGAAAAAAAATGGCGCTCAAGGAAATTTCATAGACTATTTGTGTTATGAGTCTCTACAAAGAGAGGGCAGTCAATAGTGCTGTGGATGGATGGGAATTCATTATGTTGGAGATCCCAGCTTAATTATAGATTTCATTCATATTTCATTCTGCCACCACATGTTTGACTCATAATTTCAGATGTTTAATAACGGAAACTGCAGCCAAACTGGTTCAGGGACGTCCTCAGAGCCAGTCAAATGAAAACAGAACTGACATTCTAACATCCAGAGACCTGTCAACATCTACACCGTCCTAACGTCATGGACCTGCCCTGCTTAAATCCCAGAGATATTTCTGAGTAATGAAATGAGGGCTATACACTATGCAGAGACTGTGGTGATTGCATACTGTTAAAATTGATCATATTTACTTTCTTAAAATAGGTTACTGGTAATGAATAATTTACCCTAAATCCAGTAATTTTTTACTGAACTTCATGTTATTCCAAAAAAATAAATAAATAAATAAATTTTTAATCCCTTATATATATAAGGGATGCACCAATACCACTTTTTCCAGTATTCGCCCAATACCGATACTTTTGGTACTTTGCCGATACCGAGTACCGATACCAATATTTTCATTGCATTTGTACATTTTTTAAATATTGGGTATAGAAACCAAAAGAGTATGTATCATGTTAGTTGGTTAACTTAATTTATCAAATTGATACAGTCAAACCAAAATTTATCATTTTAACGAGTACGAGTACAGGAGCTCAGTATTGGGCCCAATACAGATACCAGTATCGGTGCATCCCTATTATATATATATAAACAAAATAAAGTGGGTCCTATTATGCAAGGTTGTGTGATACTGGAAAAAAAAAAAATATATATTTATTGTGATTTTCTCGATAATGATAATTAATATTTTGCTGAGTGTTTTTGTGCTGGTACCTTGGCTGGTATAAATATAGCACTAAAACTGCCAGTAGGTGGCAGTAAGTCCTGTCTTAATGAGTGATTCATTGAATCATTCATTCAAACAATTCATTCAAGACAGCTGATTAATTTAGAAACTAAGCAAGTGATTGTCTTTATGAATGGAGCAATGAATCATTGACTCAAATGATTAATTCAAAAGCAGATTAATTCAGGTACGAAACACAGCAGTGTTGCCCTGAGACGCACAAATGTTCTGCTCCAGCTTTGTTTGGAACTATTTTAATTGACGACAAACAGAAAATGTGTCTAAAATGTAACTCACTCAATATTATCTTCTTGTTTATTGAACTGTTGTATAAAATTATTAGCACATTTGCAATCACGCTAATATTTAGGAAAATAGGGCAGAGGTCTTCAACCCTGCACCTGGGGATCAACTGTCCTGCAGAGTTTAGTTCCAACCCTAATTAATCACCTGAAGCAGCTAATCAAGCTCTTCCGGATCACTTGAAACATCACAGGCCAGGTGAGCTGAAACAGGTTGGAAACTTTGCAGGACAGTGGGTCCCCAGGATTATATTTTAGACTTGTAATGCGTTGCCCAAGCATTCTGATAGCCAATCAAATGAAGAGTGACACTATGTGATGGACTTCTCTGGGAGTTTAGAAATTAAGTAACAGAACCATAAAACAGCATCTTACCCAGATCAGTATTAGGTCCCGCCAGAACCTGCCTGAACTTGTCTAGTCTTGACGCCTCTCTCTGGGTCATGGCAGGAGTCCCGGATGTGTTCTGATCCGCAATGCGGGCCACCAGTGGAATCACAGGCCTGTGCGGGAGTGACTGCTGTCTGTGTAGTACTGCCTGCTCAATGCCCACTTCTGACAGAAGAGAAAACACAGCTTTAATGAGCATATACAAACTGCTGTCTGCTCTCTCACACCACTCGGCCCATTAAATGTAATTATGGAGGCAATTCATGACACATAGCATATCAGGACATGAGTTTGCCCACAGGTCTGAAGAGGCAGTTACCCCAAGATGCTCAGCTAGTGGTAATGAAACACTTCTCTGTCAAACTAAATCAATTACAGAGCTCGGCCAGATGAACCTCATTCAGAGAGCCATAATCATTAGGGGTAATCTTTGGACACCACACGATTCAATTCATTTAGATTCCATTTTAATTTCAATTCAGGGTGTCATGATGAGATTCCATCCATCCATCTATCTAGTAGATAAGCTCTAGATTCTAGAGTAAGTAAGCTCACTTCAGTCCCTTTGGTTGGATTTCAAGGAAGTTTTGCCGAGAAGCATGTGTATGCAGAGTACCTATTGTAATTAATACTGAATAAATATAAAAAAAATATATAATAATTTCACCAATGAGAATGTCAATCGGCTTTCTCACTGACTGTAAGGCATTGTTTCTCAACCACCTTGATTTTTATTAGTTTTATTGTATTTATTATCATTTTAGCAATGTATATTATATAATTTATTTTAGCCTTCATTAGTACTTATTTTATATATCTAGTGATTTTAATTTCAGTTTGTTTCAGCAATGTTATTTTCAGCTTTTGTCATTTTTATTATATTTAATTTGATTCAAACCATCAAAACTGTTTTCTTCAAAAACAAATCATGATCAGTTATTTTTGTATTTTTTTATTTTACTTAATTTTAGTTATATTTAAAACATTAAATCAGGTGTTAAGTTCATAAAATTGTATTTTATTTCTGTAATTTTATTTATTAATTATTTTATGTATGCATGTATGTACGTAAAAGTTGAAGTCTTGATTAGGCTTTAAAACCTAAGCAGAAAAAAAAACGAAAAAAAAAAACACTTCCTGGTTCGGCTGATATTTTCTCAGCACTGCTGCCCATTTTTTTTTTTTGTTTGTTTGTTTTCCCCCAAGAACAACCGCACAAAAAACATGCAAGTATGTAACACATCTGGAGAGATACAAGGTGTGATGCGTAATTTCGGAGGTTTGTGTTAGAGTAAATGTGTCACTAACACTATAAAATACCTTTTAAGTGATGTGTAAAGATGCCTTAGAAAGGGCTTTCTGTGTATATTCATATAAAATAGGTATATTAAAAAAAAACATATAAGTAGGTTTAATGGGCACATGGGTACATTCTATGGTATAAATGTTTTCACTAAGAATCACAATGCATGGGTGAATTGATTTTGCCCCAATGTTTAATCATGCTGTCCAAACACTGAGCGTCACTGTAAAATGTGATTGTATGCTTGTTAGAGGCATTAAATCTTGGTGACTTTGAGAGATCATTCTCACATTGAGCATCATAACATTTAATGACGTCTGTGTAATCCCTGCAGAAATTAGACCGTGCGTGACGGCTGTTGACAGTGTCAACACAAGGTGCTATTAGAGTAGATGTGGAACACATCGACAGGAAGTCCATTATAACAGTCATCCATTGCCACTGAGGCTGGCAATACAAATGACTAACAGAACTGCCTGGCAGGGCAGGTACATTGGTGGTAGAAGACAGTCCTCATGTTACATACTCAAATACTCACAGGGAAATTTGTTTCATTCTTCGCTCAGAGGTTTAAAAGTATTTTGAAATACCTGAGCAGCGGTATACTAATTGCAAACATTCCAATGCCATCACACAGCTCTCCTGTGTGTTCATGTTATTAGTCGTGTCTCACCTCAATGGACTGAGTTGAGAAATATACCTGAAAAGATTTCCATGTCAAAAAAGGTGAAGCCTCAGAGCACAGCCACCTATTACATATTTGCTACGGACCAATGGCAGTTTGAAGTTTTCTAGAAAGTTTGCACTAGTGAGCCGTTTCAAACTACCCAAACAAACCACAAACGAATTTCGGTATGGTTAGATTTTTTGATTGCAATGGCTTCATACCCATTCGTTCCTCGATTTGAATGCTATTTGGGCCTTCGGTCACTGCAGTAGTATGAAGAACTGGGATTCTAATATTATTGAAATAAACATGCTTTCATTTGATTTGCTATGATTCAAAAGTATCAGAGTGAGAGTTTGAGTGGCAGGTCTGTGGAAAAAAATGCATGCTATATTAGCATGTTAAAGCTCATTGGCAAACTGGCAATTGATTGACATTTCACTGAGAACAATTTGCCTGGGCCACACAGGTTTACAATGTTACAGCCTCCCATTTAATGAAACTATTTAATGAAGGTCGTGCTAATTAGCTAGGAAGAGAACAAAGAGAAAAGGAAAGGCTAGAGTTTAGAAGAAAGTCAAAGGTCTGTTCCCAAATCCAAACTCTCATTTAAGCCTTCAGCAAAATTAGTTAATCTTTCCTAGATGTCATCTAGATGCCAACCAATATAGTCACACAAAATTGGCAAAATAATAATCTCAACCAATTTTTATTTCATTTATTTATTTTTTAGGTTTTAGTATGCTTTTGTAGTCTGTGCAAAATATTGCCAGGCATCTTGTGGGTGATTGTCAGGCGTGATACAAAGTTACTAAGGTGTTTTGGGTGGGTTTTTTCTTGTTGTTGTTTAGTTTATTCCCCTTTCGAACTCCTAAAAAGGCGTTTGTTCGATCTTCACCAAATTTTACACACAGCAGCTACGTAGAGTGCTCGGAAAAAAAATGTATGAAAAGTATGATTTGTCAAAGTGTTACGAAGACATTAGATAATTACTTTAAGCGTTGTCCATTGACCAATATCTGCTGAACAAAATGCCCAAATTTAAATAAACTTGATATATATACAGTATACAGTGGGTACGGAAAGTATTCAGACCCCCTTCAATTTTTGACACACCAGCTTTTGTTATTCTGCTCATAGAAGGTGCTACAGCTGAAAAACTCTTCTTTTGTGGACGTCCTAACATATCCTCTAATATGACTTGGCTACAAAAAAATAAAAATACTTGGCCACCAACAGTCAATCAATTTCAGTGGCTAACAACAGCCGATCTGAATGACCTACCATTACAAAAATGGACACATTCATACATTGTGTGAAAATGAGTATGTGTACTCACTTTATGAAAATCAGCCACAAATTGGCATTGTAATAAGCAACTTTACATTTTTGCTAATAACTCTGTTTTTGTTTCTTCTGAAGCCATTCTGAGTAGGGGTGCTCCGATCAGGATTTTTGAGGCCAATCACCGATCGCCAGGGAATTCCCCTCTTAGGTGTCTCTTGTGAGAGGGGAAGCAGCTTTCACACAGGATTCCGCTACTGATCCGTGGCTGTTTATCACAAACACAAAATGTATCCATTATTTTGATTTCAAATCTAAACATTGTCACTGAAATTGCTTTTTCAGCATTGTAATTCTTTTTTTACACAGTACAGTAATACAATCTTTCACAGACATGTTTAAACTCAACACAGTAGACTTTAATAATATGCATTTATGGTGTAATTACTACATTTTCGTGTCAATCCATGTTCATATTTACTGTGCAAACAATGCGCTGTTACTTTAATTCAGTGCTTGCAGCGCAGCAATAGACTCGGTGTGGAAACGATCTGCTGCACACTGCTGATACACTGCTGCAGACGCACCGCTCCTGAACGCACTGCCGGACTGCAACCTTTAATTCGTTAACATGAGCGCAGAAAAAATACGCACCACGTATGCACTGCAAACGGAGTAATGTGAACCTGGCATTATGTGTGTGCGCTACGAGTGGGCATGAGCGCACGGTCTCCAGGAGAGCGCGCAAGCGCTGAATGGTTAAACACTGGCAAGAATTAAAAAGAAATGCAATTTATCAACTTTAGTGACGATGTGACACTGCCTCGACTGTGCAAGTGACAATTCCTGTGTCAACTGTGCAGCTCGTTTATAGACAGACGCTATGTGTGGTGATTTGAATCCATTTGCGTATTTTGAGAGCGAGAGAGAGCGCGCGCGCGCGCGCGGTGATTCACTCACCGCTGTTTTGTGAAATTACGTCTCACACAAGGTTTTCAAATTACTTCATAAGTTATTTAATGAAAAAATATGAAGGTGAGTACCTCACCTTCAGAATTATAATTGTTTCACCCGCACCGAACAGAGACTGAGACGGTGCCGCTGCAGGTCGTGCCAAACCTTTCACGGCAGCATCACCAGCTTGAGTTTTTTTTAGGTTTTTTTTTCGTTTTTTTTTTTAGATCTGCCTTTTTAGAGACCGCCGATCAAACATCCCAACGTGATTATCGGCCGATAGTGATCAGTAGCCGATCAATCGGAGCACCCCTAATTCTGAGCAAACATGCTTAGTTTCAAGAATTTATGATGCTTAGGGGGCTAACAGCAAATTATAAATTATTAGCCATTTCAACTGAAATATGAAGGCTGTGATACTGTTGTCCACTTGCACAGGAAAACAAATATTTTAGGTCTAAAATTTGTCCATCAGTTTCCATCAGATCTTATTCATTTGTATAACTATGGGGTAATTACAGTACATATTATTAGTGTACGCAGAAACATGTGAAATGCTTATAGATTATTAAATGTTTATTTGACTTTTATACTGGACTAAGTTATCTTTTGTGTCTGATTGCGCTAATACTGTCAAAAACAAGGTTTACAAACACAACTAGTTGACTAAACATGCTGCCGCTTGTCAGCAGGGATAGTTCACCCAAAAATGTAAATTCTTTCATTATTTACTCACTCTGAGTAAATGTCGTCCCAACCCTGTATTAATTTCTTTCTTGTGCTGAACACACAAAATAAAATATTTTGAAGAATGTGGATAACCAAACAGTTGCTGGTTCACATTGACTTTGATAGTAGGGGGTAAAACAAAACAAAAAACTATGGAAACGATGACAGAATTTTCATTTTTTTGGTGAACTATCCCTTTAATGTTAATAAAACAACAAAACACAGAGAAACATCACTCACTGCTCTTGCCTGAAGAACTTCCAATATATTTGCTTTAATAAGAATAAATGTATAATTTATACAAATTTTGAAGAATGTGGATAACCAAACAGTTGCTGGTTCACATTGACTTTGATAGTAGGGGGTAAAACAAAACAAAAAACTATGGAAACGATGACAGAATTTTCATTTTTTTGGTGAACTATCCCTTTAATGTTAATAAAACAACAAAACACAGATAAACATCACTCACTGCTCTTGCCTGAAGAACTTCAATATATTTGCTTTAATAAGAATAAATGTATAATTTATACAAGTGTATATAGTGTTTTATTTTTAAATTTGTTCATTCAATTTCTTGAATGCTACTGCTAAATACACCCACTGTACCTGAAAATTAAAGCACTGTTTGTTTTATTTGTACATTATGCATATTTGTTTTATAACAAAGATAAAATAATGACAAAGATTTTTATCTTCGACCACTTTGGCCTAAATAGCTGCAATTGTTTTTTTATTTATTTTTTTATTACCTTGTAAGGCTTTGTTTTTTAAAATAGGGAAATTAGTTTGGCTGTACTGCTCAGACAATTTGCAAAATAGTAAAACCAGCATGACAAATTGTGATAAAATCGTGATTTTTTTCCTCCAAAAAATACAGTGATATGATATGTCTGCCATATCACCCACCCCTAGACCACAATGTATTATTATTGTTATTATTATTATTATTATTATTATTATTATTGACCAGTGTTATTTTAGTCTTATTTATATACTATTATAGTATGTATTCATATTTTGAATTAGCTTTTATTTTTTTTTATTTTCAGTTCATCTAAAGTTTTAGTAATTTTGTTTTGTACTTTAGTCATTTTTATTATTCCGATAACACTTTAGAATAGGGAACACATATTCACAGCCTCCCAGTTTTTTTTTTGTTGTTTGTTTTTTTAGTTTTAGTAATTTTACTACTACAACTTTTTTTTCCCAACTACTTTTTTCATCATCAATCAATATTTATATTTTATTTTATTCAATTAAATTTTTTAGTTTACAAACACAACCCGTATTAACAACAATCAAAGATTAATTTCAGATTTGTTAACGCTACACAAGCAGTCAAACAATAAACCAGACTAAAAGAGTAAACAGAGACAGGAAATGCAGTTGTACTGATGTTTGACTGACCTTTAGGTGAGCCGACAGGAACTTCACTGTGTGACTTCACCATTCGGTTGTCACTTAGTGGAAGAGTCTCTGAACTGAACGACAGATCTGTTGTCATCTCGGCCCCTTCCTCTCTCTCGTCCTCTTCATCTGGCTCTTTCTCCTCTTCCTCATGTGCTTCCTGTCCATCTTTTTCATCAGGCTCAGTCATCTTGTCCATCTGCTGCTGTCTTCTTTCCTGCAGCTTGCTGTGGTTTTCTATCACCTTATTGGCTGTCTCCATGACAACCTCAATGTTGAGATTTTGGGCTGCCATAGCGAGAAGTTCATCATCATCGTCTCCCACATCCCAGGCATCACTGGTGATGCTCTCAAACTCTTGGAAGGTGGTGGCTTTCTTTGGTTTTCCTGGCGTAGTGGTAGACGGAGGCTTGTTTCCTGCTTTCATCAGACTGCAACACAAAATTTAGACTTTTGTTTATACATGAATCAAACTCACACAGAATGCTGGTGTTCCACAGATATTTTTAATAATATGTGGTCAAATCATAAAGAACAGGGAAATTGTTCTGCCTTCTCTGACTCGCATTGTTAGTCACCAAGTCACTGTTAACTTACAAAAAGTATTTTTTTCTCAACACCGTAAAAAAAGCGACTACATATTTATTATGCTTATGAAACCTTTTCAGTTAAAAAAAAAAAATGAAAAAATGCCATTTTCTTCAAAATGCAAACCCATGTCAGACCAACAGAATTGCCCCAAATAATGTCCCAATGAGTCAAAAACAGTTGTCTGAAGAAAGAATTTCATATTCCTGAAATGTTAAGACTTTGTGAGTTCCCAGCATGCATTGCAGCATGAATAAATTATGTAGTTACTGTTATAGGATTCATTTTTGCTGTTTGATGACTTTCTCATTATTGTTAGTTATCTGTTGTGTTGTGATGTAAAGAGCTCATCATTTTACATTTGTTGAGTGTCACCATTGTTGAGGTTAGTGCATCAAGTGTTGAGGCCTAAAGTATGTAGGCAACTATATCTTACATTGCTTTGCTTTGTAAGGATGATTGTTATCCTCTTTACAAATATAGCATGATTCACTTAACACATTAAGTGCCCTATAAGACTATATTACATTTGACTATCATAAGAAATTAATTAATAAAAGAAAGTTTACTGAACAAGAAATCTTTTGTTGTCCTCATGAATATACTGGCTGAATGAAGCATTTTAGTGAACAAACCAATTAAAATTGACATTAGTTGTACAATTAGGCCGCTGAAAATGCCCAGCTGTGAGCGCAGTTTTTTTGTTTTTTTCCAGTTGAGACGCTGTGGTTGCTATGATACGGAATATTCGCTGAAGTAATATGACAGATGCATCGCAAATTAAATTTTTCTCCAAGCCTTATTTTTCATAACAATAATATGGTAGTCCGGTAATTCTATCTGGTAAAGACATAAATATTAGGAGACAAGCAATAACTTCTCCATTGTTGTTCAGTTCAGTCGTAGTACAAGCAGGTGTGACGGTTGGTCGGTATTAGTCCCGCCCCTCCTCCACTGTGATTGGTCAGCCGACTAAAAGTGACAGTGATGAGCACTGCGTTTTACCCAAAGTTGAACATTCTTCAACTCTCGACGGCGAGAAAAAAAACGCCCGAGCGCTCAGCATGAAAAAGACGCTCGGCACGCTCCTGGCATTTTAAAAAACGTGGCGCTCCCATTGAAAACAACTGAAAAAATACACTAGCCTCGGGAAAAAATGCTTTGGTGGACATGGGGCCTTATTAAAACAAAAGTTGAGAAAACGTAAAACTTTGACCGCATCAAGTTGCCTTGAAATTTTACGTTTTCTCAACAATTTATTTTTTTACAGTTAACTTGGGGTGTCACTTAAAATGGTCACATACTGCTAACCCGCATTAAAATCGGATGATTTTCCAGTCGTTTTTTCGTCACAAATTGCTGTCAGCACCATTTTAGATTAAAGTCGGCATGAAACGGAAGTAGTGATTGTCATTTTTTTCTCTACTGTTGACGTCTATCCGAGTGAAAAGGCATCTGAAATGAGAGGGCGGGACTTGATTTCATCCTTTGGGAATCGATTGGATCGTTGGAAGTTGGGGCGTTGCTAACAAAATGGAGGCAGATCTGAATGCCAGTTTGCAGTTAGTTGTGGGGGGATTTCTCTCCACTGTATTCACCACCGACACCCTAGCATGAAGAAATTTATTTATTGAGGAAGACGACAACGTGGACGATCAACGGCACAAAACATACCTAATAAACATACCTACATATCGCTTGTGCGCGCGAGAGAGAGAGACTGCCTGAATGAGGTTCCATCAGGTTAAGTCATATTCATAAAAAAAAAATAGTTTGCAATGTCCTAAGAGTAATGTTGTGGTAATATCCTCACATCCTTTCAATTTGTAAGGGTAGTGCCCCCATGGCTTGCGTCAGCACTGGTCAATGCATTAGGCTTGTTTGAGATGAGCAAATTCTGCGCAGAACTGATCACCGGTGATCACCGCGAGATGCATGCCGGTTAGAAAAGTGTCCGAGTTACGTCCGACTTGCTCTGATGTCACGCTGACGTGTGCCAAAAAAACTCTCACGACGGCGAGGCGGCTGTGTCGGATTGTGCAGTCGAGCGCAGTTGCTCTCCACCGACTGCGCTGATCAAAAGCATGATGGGAAACGACTGACTGACGACACAGCTTAATGCTCATTGGTTCAGACAACCGTGATGCTGCGTTCTCTTCTAAAATGTTAATTTTTTTTATCTGGTTCCATGTGATTATGTATTTAAATTATGCATGAATATTCCCGAAAATTATGACAGTGCGATCTCTGTGTGAGATATGTGATTGTTGTCATATTTCTATCAAAATCTAAAATACATGTTTGTATTAAAGTAAAAAAGGATGATAAATACACCTTTCGTATGGAATTAAATAGCAAGCACTTTGAGTGTCTTGTTCATCATATTTATTTTCATATAACAGTAACAGAACTGAAATTATATCATGTTAATCAGCAACACAGCACGTGAGTGAGAATAACGCGATATCTGCCTTTGATCTCATTGGTATCTGTTCCACTTCGAGAGGTCAGAACTGTCCGTCTTGCTTATTTCACTCCTCCCCTCGCTGCAGCCGTCTACTCTCGCCTACATTTCAGGCGAGGCGAGTCGCATCTCAAACAAGCCTATTGATTTCTATAAAGTGAAGCATCCGCTTCAGTTTTTCCCCGTTGTTTATCCCAGCGTTTACCCCTCACGTCACTAGCTCCGCCCTTGCGCCATAGCTCATGACCGGAAGAGTAGAGGAGTCGTTTTGAGGGGGAGGGGAGGTTAACGTATTTGATTAAAGATTACGAGGGCACATGAATTAAAAAAAAATAATGAAGTGCACGGATAAATTATTTATAATAAACACTACAGTATTCCATTAAAAAATAAGAATTTTCAATTCTGATTTCATGGTGACTTTAAATAATATGTAGAATCATAAAACTATTAATTATTATTTAAAAAGTACAACTAATAGATAAAGTAAGTTACAAAAGACACAAGGTGTTTTTATCATATCAATTCAAATCTTTATTTTTTCTGATTAAATTCATTCACAAAATAAAGAGGAAGCATTGTCCATATTTTTAACTTACATTAACGGGGTTCATTTTAAATTTGAAAGGAAATGAGATACAATGCTTAAAGGGATAGTATATCAACACACCCATTAACGTAAACTACGCCAGAGCGCGTACACACCTCACGCACCGGATGCCGTGTGCGCACCCAAAGACAGTTGGACATAGTGGTGTATTAGAGGTAAAAAATGATATAAATACTGTTCGGTTTCTCGCACAAACCGATCGTTTCGTGTCTTAGGACATCAATGTGTCGTCACGAGCCGCAGGGTTTAATTTGGATTTGTCTGTGCATGTTTTTTTTACTCTCATAGATTTTGTTACCATTGCCATGCATTATACGACTGATAGACTGCAACGGTTGGAGTTAAAAATCATCATTTGTGTTCTACTGAAGAAACAAAGTCACCTACATCTTGGATGCCCTGGGGGTAAGCAGATAAACATCACATTTTCATTTTTGGGTGAACTATCCCTTTAATGCGTTCTACTCAATTTGATGTTGTATTCTCATTATAGCCAGCTAACATAAAAACCAGATTCCCTCTAACAGGGAGCCTCTTAAGTATCTCATTCCAAAAACTACAAAGGCGGCTGCTTTTGGTCTAGTTCAAGCATGCGGTTTCATGCGACACTTCAATGGGCAGGGTTTGCGGATTCATTGTAGTAACATCTGTGGCTGTCACAAAGAAAATAGCAACAAGTGTGAACTGACAAGTAAGAAAACTACATTTTCATTTTATGATTATGCAAATTCAACTCTATTCATATTCTGCAATCACGTTTATGTTTTTATTGGGAATGATTAATCTATGCATATTATAGAAAAGAAGAACAACTTGTTCTTCCTCTGCGATGACTTTCTTTTTAAGGTTTCATTTTGCTTTTCAAGATCTAATCAATTCCCCACGAAAAAGCCATGTCATGCTCTTCCGTTTATTTTATTAAACGCGCATGTAAACTCATTTTACTTTCTTAATTTCATATATTTTTAAGTGAAATAGAAAATGCAACAGCATCAACTATATATAAACACACGTGTGTGTTTGTATAGATGTTGCTGTTGAATTGTCTTTATCACACTGAAATAAAGGAAGTAAAATGTGTTGCAAACAAACCGGACTTCAAAAAAAATGAAAGCAAAAGCACACAAAAGAAAACATATCCTCTTCTATCTTTGAACATGTTCTTTTCAGCAAAACTAAACATTATAAAATACATTGTACACACACTGTATAAGCTATTAATTAAAATTACAGTTGAAATTTTGGAGAATACAGTGCCTGCAAAACAACAGAATACAGTTCAAACAACCATCCAGACATTCAATCATCAAAACCACAGAAAATAAATAAATAAATAAAAATGCTGTCCATTAAAATGCATAACTGCGCTTACTTGGCATGTAGCAAAGGGTCAAATGGGGGATGTTGGGCTCCATAAACATGCTGGATACTGTGAAAAAGAAAAAGTGTTAAGATGGACGTTTATAAAAATGTCCTCATCATTACTTTGATGATGTGAAAACTGGTTTGACAAGTCAAGAATTAATGAAGCAAAACTACAAAATACAACAAGGCTTCATTTTAACGAGTTTTTAGTTATGTTTAATTTGTATCCACATTACATAAACTACTTTAATTATTAAGTTTTATAAAGTTGCTTTTGTTGCCATCACTACTTGAAATGCACCATAGCACTACTATGGTATTATTTTAAGTACCATGTAAATAGCATGGTATGTGAATACAATAACCATCCAGTATCTGTATCAAAATACTACAACTAACGTAGTGATACCATCATTGTACCAAGCTGTACTTTTCTGTAAGAGTTGTCAAAAATGGGCCCAGCAGCAGCTAACAGGCTAACACATGACTTTATGTACTAATCGATTAACACAAAGCTTTGATCAATATAACAGATATTATCACCACATGCACATTAATCAAACTGCAGATGTCAGTGTTAGAAGAATATAGTTGTGATGATATAAACTTAATACATCACTGACATCACTCCATACATGGAGCTGTACAGCTAGCACACATTCCATTAAAAGACAGTTAAAAACAGCCTAAAGAATATTAGATTTGAGTGACACGTGTTATTCTGAATATTTGGAGATCTGGCGTTAAAAGATATTGTTCAATTATTTGCATCTATAATTATACACATATAATTACACACACACACACACACACACACACATAGCTAACACATAGACATTAGCATGAACACGTCACTCACTTCCCAGGAACCTTGGCTGTGTTTCTCTTCCAGAACTGTTTTTTGTTGCCGTCACCTGACATCTTTTGGCTTCGGAGTAGTCGCTCATAAATTAATTTACAGAAATAAGCTGATAAGTTGTGCAAAATGTGCACGAAGAGTTTATTTACACCTCAATTTCTCTTCGCAAACTCAGAGAGCCGCCATTTTGGTACCGCCCACCGCACATTAGCACAGCTGTGATTGGTTATGGGGTCTCATGAGTGACTGCTGAACAGCCAATCACAAGTGGAAATTTCTGCACGCCTCCTTTAGTTCCCTCACAGGCCTGTTTGATATTGTCTGTGAATGAATGTTTAATTTCTATAAAACACACGAGGATGTAACTAAATTAAACAATAAATATTACAAAACAACAAATCATGTGAATGATAAAGAAACGTCTAAAGAGTTTTGAATAACAATATTAGTATATATTTTCATTGAAAACATTGATTTTTTTTTTTAATATTGCTGAGTTTCAAAATGTTGTTGAGATATGCCTTAAAGCGTAGCGTATGATCGCAGATTGTGCACTTATGTATGTGAAACTTAGCCAGGAGAAGTAGCCCAACAGATGTATAACACACACACACAAACCTTTTCAGTGTTTTTATCTAAAAACCGAGAGACCACAAAATCGGCTATATATCTAAAATAAATACATTAATAATCCCAAAAATGTTTTTTTTTATGTAATGACATTACTTGTAAGATACAACAAGGTATATACGTGGCAATAAAGCGCAACATTGACGCATTGGTCACTTTTTTCCATTAAAATGAATATGAAAGAGGAAACCTCCTATACCACTACTTTGGAGAACTAAGAAAAACTTCAGTTTTGCTTCTTCATGTCAATTAATTTATTGAAGTAATACTGCTTGCACTTAAAGTAGTGGTGATAGCTAATAGGAAGAACATTATATTATATTATATTATATTATATTATATTATATTATATATTAGCCTATGTAACATAAGATGTACAGTATAAAAGTTCAATACGCTAAATATATGATGGAACAAAACGGCTCTACAGTATATTAGACATTTAAATGTTGTATAGCATATATATTAATTTACATATGGCATGCAATATACGTCCGAGTGGCATAATATGTCATATATAATATAACTTTGTAAATAAATCGGTGCTGACCCCTAATTAACTAACAGTACCACAATAAATAAAAGCAAACAAAGAAAGAAAGTATGCCAATCACTCACATCGCACCTCCTACAATAGGATTATGTGTGACGTTTTTCTCTCAGGCTCCTCCCACTTTATCCGGGAAGCGAAAACCGCTATGTAGCAAAACTGCTTAGGAGAAAACGAGCAACATTGCAGCGACTGTAGTATTTGTTTACAATAATTTAAAGCGGCGGCCGGTATAGTATACACCCGTTTTGAAGATGAAAGTGAGATAACAAGTGTGTATTTGTTGTTAAGAGCAGAAATGGAGAAGCAGTCGCGTCTGTTGTGCTCTGAGCTGTGTGTCCAGCGTAGATTGTTTGAGGTCACATTAAACTGCGCGATTCTCGCGTGGAAAGACATAAAAATCGCCAAAAAACACACCGGACGCGCCATATATCGAGCTGTCAAAGCGGGTGAGTTACATATCTAATACAATAACAGCACTATAACATGTACAACAAGGTGCGCTGCTGCTGTTGTTTGTTCTAGTGCGTGTGTCTCAAAACTGACTGAGCTGCTTAAGAGCTATCGTATCGCAGTGTTGGGGGTAACGCATTACAAGTAACGCGAGTTACGTACAAAAATATAACTTTTTTATTTTAAAAACAAACTAGCAAGCCCTGTCCAGATTTACAAAGTAATGCAAAAGTAACGTAACGCATTACTTTCCATAAAAAGTAACTAAGTAACGTAATTAGTTACTTTTTTATGGAGTAACGCAATATTGTAATGCATTACTTTTAAAAGTAATTTTCCCCAACATTGATCGTATGTACAGTACGTACAGAGAATCGCAGAACGCAGCATTTTTGACCACCTAACTATGATGACCCAAAAAGGCACTGGCTGGATGACGTCTTTGATGGCCAAACCGCTGCTTAAGCAGAATGTGTATACGATGCACAAAAGCGCTGCTGATTCTGAACATGTCAGTGGTGCCCAAAATGATGCTGATTGGAAGCAGTGGCGGATTAAGACTCTTTGGTGGCCCCTGGGCAGTGACAACTAGAGTGTGATAATTTAGATTCTTTTTTTTTTTGCAAAATTTGATATTAATAAACTGATCTGATAACAAGGCTACAAAAATCCTTACAAAATCAGGTTACCACTTTTTACAGTGTACTCTGAAATTATTATATTATTATATAATTTATATCATATATTATGAGTGAACTTGTGAACCCACCTCTTACAGGTGTAATCTGTTCTAAGATGTGATATAAATCTGAACTGTATGCAGCAAATTGAAACGTTTTATAACTAGTGAAGCCAACTGTTACAGGTATAATAATAATCCAGTCTGTTACTTCAGACTCTATGGAAAAAAAGAAAGAGTGGATAATCTTTTTAGAGTCATTGTTGTCCTCGGCTAATGTAGAAACTATTTGGAAGTCAGTAACAACAGAGACTGTGGAAAAGTGCATAACAATTATACCATGCAAGCTTTTATCAAGGCCAAAGGAGGCCATGCAAAATAAAAAATAAAATAGCCTATTTATATTTTTTGGTTATTATGTGTGAATAAAGACTATTTAGTTGTTTCATCTTATACGGTAGTGGTGCTATATAGCACCTTAACCACTCCAAAGAACCGCTGAAGAACCTTTTTTTTTAGAGTGTAGGACTTTGCTGAGGAACCCTTATGCTCAGAAACGGCCCTGGTTACAATATAAACACATGGAGTTATTTATATCTCACCTACAATAATGTACAGTATTTGAAAAATAATGTGTTTTTTGTACATTAAAAGATGTCAACATATTCTGTTACACCAAATACACAAAATAATGATCTTTAAAAAAGCATCATATGACCCCTTTAAGAGAACTTAGTACGTTCTGATGAAAGGGTAGCCAATGTATTGGCCACGGCTAGATAGACGTTTGAGAATACATCGCTTGTTTTACCGCAGAACATTTATTTGCGTGGTGTCCCCCTGGACGTGGTGCCCCTGGGCACTTGCCCAATTGCCCATATGGTTAATCTGCTATGATTGGAAGACGTCTATGATGCCCAAAATCGCAGCTGATCTGGAATGCATGTGTTGCCCAAAAACCCAGCTGAATTACCCCCCCCCTCTTTAATGTCAAAAAACATTATCTATATTGAGTAAAAATGGTGCTGAATTGGAATGTTTCAGTGATGCCCAAAACATTGTTAAATTGTAACATTATATAGGATGCCTGAAAACGCTACTGGCTCAAAATGCATAAAATAATGCTTAGAAGTGCTGTGTTGAATGATGCACATGATGCATTCAGAAATGAAGGTCTATGATGTCCAAAACACCACTAAAGCTGAACATGGTTATAATGCTATAAAACTCTGCTGGCTCAGAATTCATCTATGACGCCCCAAAATTCTGTGTTGTAAGCACACATTTATGATGTCCAGAAATGCTGCTGACTCCTACAATTTCTGTGATGCCCAAACATGCTGAGTTCTGTGCATACTTGAATGGTGCCTTACTCGGAACTCGTCTATGAGGCCTAAACATGCTGCGTTCTATGCATGCAAATATGATGCCCTAAAATGCTGTCTACTATGTAGGCAGTTCACTAGGTTGAATTACAGCCATGAAAATAAGGTAAATATACAATTTATTGTCTAGATTGTTATGTAAAGTATTATGTGGCAAGATGAGTTTCTTTACAGAAGAGTTTTTCTGCTCCTAAAACAGTAGTTAATGTGTGTATAAAGAGTGTGTGAAGTGTTCTCAGACTGTGCTGGAAGGTCAGGGAGGTTACTGATAATCTAGAGGAATTGGATTGTGTGTTTCCACCTGTCTGCAGCACACACACACACTATGCTGTCCTGTCCTCTCATTGCTCCTGGTCTTTGGTTGGGATTGTTAATGAATCTGTAGGTGTCTGTCATTAATTGTCATAAATTGACTTCCGGGTTGTGAGTTGTTAATCAGTTATTTGTGTGACGTAACCTTGTTTTCTGAAAATCACTCACATTTATCGTGAAACATGCATATTCACAGGAAACACTGGATCTTTTCAGAAGAAAATAGTGACCACAAATGATGGTCAGGTCATTGTGTGTAGGTGGACTCAAACTTTCCAGTTAAAGTTTCAAACTATGTTATAAATAAGGCAAAAACGTGCTGCAGTTCTCTTTCAGCTCTTATAGAGAGAAAAATAAAATAAAATTTGAGTTATTATTGTTTTTCAGTGTGTTTTGCTGATAATATAAAAGTCTGGGATCCTTGTCTTTTATGTTTTGAGCCTAAGTTTGGCTAACTTACTAAAACCATCTCTAAAACTAGCAATGCCTATTATCACAGTTAAAACAACAAGTTTCAGATATGCTTAAATTAAATATTGCTAATAGAAGAATAAAGCTTATACAAAAATCACAACCTTGCAATAAAAAACGGTATTTTGTTTGATCATCCTAGTTATAATTGTTTTATGTAAAAGAGCAGCATAAACATTCTGCTGATAATCTTATGTTACAACATGAGTGTGAGTGGATAAAAACAAGATGCGCTTTAATATACTTGACCTATTAAAACTGCCTATGTTAAAGAACCACATAACTCCACATAAACATTGAATCCCAAACTAATCAAGGTTTTGAAACTGGTTCACCGGAGCCAGACCTTTGCCAAGCCGTGGATACATTACACAGCTGAGGAGAGGTTGAGAACTGGATGACCTCCAGTACTAAGATCCATTACACAAAGCCGGCTTTTATTTAAAGATCTTGATGGATATTTTCCTCGGGGCCATGACACATATGAAATGAAGTTTCCACCCTGCTTAAGGTAGTTCAAGGCACCCTGTCATTGTTTAATTAAAGGATTTCACATGAACAAAATCATTGCTCACAAGAGCTCAAGAAAATTCTTATCCAGGAAAATTCTTATCATAAATATTTTATTGTCATCAGTACCCAAATTGTTTTGTTTCTCAGTATATTTCTCAGTGTTTGCAGTGCTTTTTACACTTCCTAAAGATTCATAAATGGAAACTGTTTGTCAATAAACTCTTAATTTGCACCTGATAGCTTTATCAAAGTTTGTCTTTTACGATCGATCTTTTCCAGATAAGCACCTCTTTTGTTTCTCTTTTCATACCTCATTTCCAAAATTCAAAAACATCCAGATTGTCTAATTGCAAATAACATTTCACTAACTCTTGTCTTTGTTCACGTACACTTGATGCTGAACTATTTTATTGATATGGAGACATTAAGACCATGGTATTTTTCTCTTTTGTGAATCTGTTTTTATTGTGGAAAACTTCAGGTTGCCAGTGTGACTTCTGTCAGCGCTGGCTGTCTAGTGTATGATGTACTTTGTCCATCTGCTGTGTAATCTAACCCCTTTCACCACTAGTTAGTTCACTGTAACTGAAGTAGTAGGGACACAAAATACATTATTTGTAGAGGGCCCTTTCATACTAAACAAATGTTTGGTTTTGCTGGAAAGGTCACTTTGGATGGATGAATGGTGCGTTGTGCTGCTCAAACATGGTGCTCCAGAACTTTGCGAGAAGGGAATAAACGCCTGGTCCCAAACTCATATCTCTATGGCAATAGATGCCTGGAAGGATATGAGTAATATCCCGCAACATGATCCGCATCAGGATCCATAGGTAATGTATAATGACTGGGATTGTTCTTTCAAACAGTTGACATAAATTTGAGGTTTCCTCTAGCCTAGTGCAGTCCTCAAGTTTTTAATTTGTTGCTCAAGTGATGTCATAATTGTAGTAGGCCTAAATACAACTGCAATTTCAAATATGTCTTATTGCCATATTAATAACAAACATGCCTGGGAGGTATGACTAGCACATTGTTTAAAGGAACACTCCACTATTTTTGAAAATAGGCTCATTTTCCAACTCCCCTAGAGTTAAACAGTTGAGTTTTACCGTTTTCTAATCCATTCAGCCGATCTCCGGGTCTGGTGGTAGCACTTTTAGCTGTAGCTTAGCATAGATCATTGAATCTGATTAGATCGTTAGCATCTCGCTCAAAAATGACCAAAGAGTTTCGATATTTTTCCTATTTAAAATTTGACTCTTCTGTAGTTACATCGTGTACTAAGACCGACGGAAAATGAAAAGTTGCGATTTTCTAGGCCGATATGGCTTGGAACTAGCCGCTTTCAGGTGCTGCGTAATATCATTGTGCCTGCTGCACCCATGGTACGGCAGCAAAGTTCCTTGATTCTTACGCTGGAATGAGAGTATAGTTCCTAGCCATATCGGCCTAGAAAATCGCAACTTTTCATTTTCCGTCGGTCTTAGTACACGATGTAACTACAGAAGAGTCAAGTTTTAAATAGGAAAAATATCGAAACTCTTTGGTCTATGCTAAGCTACAGCTAAAAGTGCTACCACCAGACCCGGAGATCGGCTGAATGGATTCGAAAACGGTAAAACTCAACTGTTTAACTCTAGGGGAGTTGGAAAATGAGCCTATTTTCAAAAATAGTGGAGTGTTCCTTTAAAGGGGAAATCCCTTTTAGCCTTTCATAAGAGTTTGTCACATGAAGTTCTGGGAAATGGTAGAAATAGTCCGTCAGTATGAATTTGTACTATTTATACTGTGGTTTTAATTAAATGATCTTTCTCTATGCAAATTGTTTATCCCAAACTTAATTACTTACGTATTTATTTAACTTTTGCCATTAAAATAGCTTTACATACTGACATGGAATAAAACAACCAAATAAATACAGCATGGTTTTCTGTGTGATTTTTAATATCTGACATCAAACAGAAAACTATAATCCTCTGCATTTGATGATTTTAATGGAAGCAATTTCGTTTATACGACTCAGCCAATATCCAGTGTAAACATGGTGTAACTGTGTAATTTGCAATATGCAGATCAGATGTGAAAAAAGGTGTGAAAATGCAACATATGGACTGGGATTGTTGTTTTAAACCATAGCTATACTTGCATATGTTCTTGCAACATAAATTGTATATTTTGGTTTGTCTAATAAATAGAAAAAAATAAATAAATAAAATGTAAGTATTCAATGAATTAAAAAAAAAATTTAATTATTACTATTTATGTCAGTAGACCCTATAACAAAAGATTTAGGTAATAAAAATGCTCGCATGCTCTTTAAAACATTTGCCTCCCTCCTTTGTCCTCCTCCTCCCCCTCCTTCATCAACTCTAACAGCTGACGACTTTGCCACATTCTTCATTAATAAGATTACAAACCTCAATGCACAATTTGCAACACCACAAACTGTCAAACACATCTTACCAGCAAACATACACTCGTTTTCATCCTTCTCTCCACTCTCTGAGGCAGAAGTCTCTAAACTCATCCTTTCCAATCATCCTACTACTTGTCCGCTTGATCCTATTCCATCTCATCTCCTTCAAGCCATTTCTCCTGCCATTGTACCTGCACTCACTCACATCATTAACAACTGCTTTTATTGTCCTCATTTGTAAGTCGCTTTGGATAAAAGCATCTGCTAAATGACTAAATAAAAAAATAATAATAATAATAATAGGTAATGTAAATAATTACAAAAAATAAATATATAAACAAAGAATGCATGCTGTGCTACCATAGAGTGTAGGCCAAAATATAATTTTGCCCCCGTTTTTTTTTTTTTTTTTTTTTTTG